AGTGAGCATATATGCAAAGAAGTGCAACAGTCTGACTTTAAAGGCTTTATTTCGCCCGCAGGGGTTTTGCAGAAAAATACACTGTGCTTCTAGCCGCTGGCGCTGAGAAAGTACCGTGATTACAATTGGGGGCCAGGACCCCACGATGTCTACCCAATCCTATTTTCTCCGAGAATTAGTTCACCTGCAATAAAACCATCCTACAGAAGCGCAACCTAAACTCCGGATCATTCACTCAGAGACTCCATATTTAGTCAAATGCAACCAGTATTGGTGAATCTGTTCCTTCAGCGGACGCAGTCGCAGTCTCAATCGCCGATTGTGCAGCTGACAAATCTTCTGGGTTCAAGAGGTGCGAAGGTATCGTCAAAACTGAGTTTTCCAAATTCGCTGACCGATCGGAAGTCAAATTACTGGTGTGCAAACTCGGCACAGTGGAGTAGGAATTGTATATAAACTAGATTTTCCCGAAGATATCCCGTTACCTCAGCCCTCGTGGCAAGTCAGAACGCAATTTCAGATATTTGGCGATCGGACCTCACAGTTCGATATTTTTTGTCAATATCCCAATCTGGTCATGGAAGATAATAAACGCTTCACCAGGTTTACTGTTGCTGTCTATTAGGAAACCCAACGTTTCAAACTCAGTTGAACGATGAGGAAAGAGCTCAAGTGCCTCTTTTTTGTATCCATCCTTCAATCATCTCAAAATAAGGATACTGGAATCAAGCCGTTCCAGGCAACTCAACAGGATGCTGGAATGACGTTGCGGAGACTCACCACCGTCAACGCCTCATCAACCTGAACCATAACAAGACCATGGCAGGCCAGTCACCTGCCACTTCAAGGAGCTGCGTGCACGCGATCAGCTTCAGCGACCAGAAAGACCCTGACAGCTAGCTCGGTCGTCAACAAATTGACAAGCTCTCCAATTGCCGGCATTGAGGTGGGTGACACTGTTTTTTTCTTGTTTTCTTTTTCCCTTTTTTTCCGGCGCGAAACCAAAACCTCAAGGTCAGGTGTTATATATTTTTTTCATTATTCTAGCCCATCCATA